AGAAGAACAGAGCTGTTATATCCCCATCCTAGAGATACTTCGGGTCCTTTCAAATATGTGTGGCAACAGAGACATCTTGTGGCCAGTTGAGGAAGAACCTCATCTCTGTGTTTCCCATATGGGACCCAGGAGATGCATCCCAGAGCCTGAGGTCAGGATGTCCAACCTGTGGCCCTCAATGTACAGGGCTGCACCCTGTGAGGTTTACAGTGAAGGGTTTGGATCAGTTTTAGTCACTGTGGCGGGCATTGCCTCACCCCCCTCACCCCCCGCAGCACAAGTTACAACCCCTGTCTAGAGCAGCTTTGCTTTGAACCAAAATGCTGTGAGCAGCTGTTGTCCCTTCCCTGCTCCAGCTGTTTAGCAGCTCCCCTGCTGGCTTCCTGCTGCATTACAGGAGCAATGAAAGTACCTGTGGCTGTTCATCGTTACCTCCCTGCTGGGCTGTGGGAACCTCAGCAAGTGGGACAGGAGTTTGACTGACCGCACCTAAGACTGGGAAGTCTTCCTCACGGAGCCTAGGAGTGCGGGAAAATCAACAATCCATTACAACTTCCTGGTTCTCTGCCCTGCCCCAGGCTCATGTGCTAGTTGACTGTGGTCCCCAAGAGATCACTTGCCAGTTAGGGATAGCTGGAGGGCACCAGACACAGCCCCTCCCACTCTCAATATGCCCTTGTCCTGTCCCCACCCTAACAGTGCTACACTGAGGCAGAGGTCAGGAAGGCATAAGAGCTGAATGTGCTGGCTCTGCAGCCACTGGAGACTCCCTCCACCAGGCAGCTTCTGCTCTCTTTGTATGACCCAAGGGGCATTGAGCAAGTAGACTGGGCCAAAGGATCTGCTTCAAAGTATCAGTGTGGACCCATGGCCTCCTTGACATAAGTTTGACTCTCATGCTGATAGGGCTGGTGCCAAAAGCCCACCTCAGGCTCCTGGCATGTGTCTCACCCTACCATTGGCATACTTGTAAATCTTTTCTCCTTCAGCTGAGATTCCTCTGGAATCGCATGAACCCAAGACCTGGGTCACTAAAACTTCAGATGGTATGACAGTCCCAACCAGGTTGAGAGAGCCGGCAGTGCTGAGGAAATCACGTCTGTCATTGAAAAGGTTGATTATATCCTGGCTAGACCTTCTTCAGGGAACATCTTTCCCTCTTCACATACCTGTGCTGTAGGGAGGCAAGGTGGAGGCTAACGTGCTCCATCCAGTGTGCTGGGGAAGAACTGCAGCCTGTGACTTGATTACAAGAAACCCACATCAGAGCTGTGACAGAACCAAAGTCCTACCTTGGAGGGGCGATGGAACTGTTTGTATGGTGGGGATGCTGAAAGCTGTTGAACCTTGTATATGATGATAGCCATGCATTTGGATGCTATTATGTCAATGCCCATTGCTTTGTCTGGTACAGAGGTGCTGACAGGACCTCACACTGCAGAATGCTGGGAATATAAACTTCTCCTAGGCACCATTGAGACTGCAGGAAGAGACCCCAAATAACTCCTGCCTCGTTCTGCTCTAATCTGTGGCTGACCTCCAGCGCACAGCACCATCTTGCCCCTCTGCTGGTCTCCTCCTTGTGAAAAGGCAGTGGATGGAAACATTAGAAAATTCTACTCCCCTTTTCTATGTGGTTCAAACCCTTGACCCACTTCCAAGAAACACCACAGGGGCTGTCTGCACTCCACAGTTATTGGCACCTGGGTCTGAGCACCCTGCTTAGCCTCATCCAGGTTGGAGCATCCCTACAGCACAGACCTACCCACTTTACTGTGCCTTTACTGTGTCTGTGCTTACCTGAGTGTCTCTGGGAGCATATCCCATACTTCTTTGTGCTGAGACACTCTAGGATTCTTTCCCAGTCCGTTGTGTCAGTTGCAGGAGAACTTGTCTGTCCTCTGGGGGGAAGTTGTGGGAAAGGTATTGCAGGGCTATCAGCATGTATAAGTAGGGGCAATGGTAGCAGATGACAATGGTCAATGGTAGCAGATGACAGAACGAGGAGTAATGGTCTCAAGTTGCAGTGGGGGAGGTTTAGATTGGATATTAGGAAAAACTTTTTCACTAAGAGGGTGGTGAAACACTGGAATGCGTTACCTAGGGAGGTGGTAGAATCTCCTTCCTTAGAGGTTTTTAAGGTCAGGCTTGACAAAGCCCTGGCTGGGATGATTTAACTGGGAATTGGTCCTGCTTCGAGCAGGGGGTTGGACTAGATGACCTTCTGGGGTCCCTTCCAACCCTGATATTCTATGATTCTATGTGAGTGAGGGGTTTTTTTGTTTGTTTTTTTTTGCCTGCATTCTCACCACAAAGGGGGTGGTTCCAGCCTGAGTTGAACTGGAGCCCAGGTTCTAACCTGGCTCACTAGCTAGGCCAGCTAGCCTGGGCATAAAGTACCTCCAAACCCACCTCCAAGGGTCTTAGCCCAACCCTCCCTCTGTCCATGCATAAGACCTGGGAAAGATTCCAACTTAACTGTGTAGTGAAGGCAGAGAATGGCAGGCAGGCCAGCCAATCTGCCCCATCAGCATTTCTCAGGCAAGAGTCCCTCTTTTCTTTATATGACTTCCTTAGTTCTGCAGCACCCATGGGCGTGCAAGACCCTTCACAAACAAATTAAAGGAGCAGGTCCCTGCCTCAAAAAGCTTCTGATCTCAGAGATTCCAGGGCTAGAAGGGACCACTGATCTAGTGCTGCGGTGGGCAAACTTTTTGGCCTGAGGGCCACATTGGGAAATAGAAATTGTATGGCGGGCCATGAATGCTCACAAAATTGGGGTTGAGGTGCGAGAGGGGGTGAGGGCTCTGGTTGGGGGTGCGGGCTCTGGGGTGGGGCTGGGGATGAGGAGTTTGGGGTGTAGGAGGGTGCTCTGGGCTGGGACCGAGGGGTTAGGAGGGGGATCAGGGCTGGGGTAGGGGCATGGGAAGGGATGCAGGTTCTGGCTGGGGATGCAGGCTCTGGGGTGGGGCTGGGGATGAGAGGTTTGGGGTGCAGGAGGGTTCTCTGTGCTGGGATCAAGGGGTTTGGAGAGCAGATGGGGGGTCAGGGCTGGAGCAGGGGGTTGGGGCATGGGGAGAGGCTCATGGGTCCAGGCACCGAGCGGCGCTTGCCTCAAGTGGCTCCTGGAAGCAGTGGCATGTCCCTTCTCTGGCTTCTAGGTGTGAAGTGGCCCCCGACCCTCGGAGTGGGGCCATGCCGTGGCTTCCAGGAGCCGCGTGGTACGGCCCCTGACCCAGCACCCCAGCTGGAGCGCCGGAGTGGGGCTGAGCCGCGTGGTGCGGCTCCCAACCAGGCTCCCCAGCTGGAGCTTGTGGGCCAGTTCAAAATGGCTTGCGGGCCGCAGTTTGCCCACCCCTGATCTAGTGTGAGCCCTTGTATAGCACAGGCCAGAGAGCTGCCCCATAATAATTTCCACAACAGAACTTTTAGAGAAACAGCCCATCCTAAATTAAAAATTGTCAAGGATTGTTCCAGTGGTTAATTACTCTCACCATTATAAATTTACACCTTATTTCTGGTCTGAATTTGCCTAGCTTCAACTTCCAGCTAATGGAGCAGGGTCCACATGAATCCTAAGCACGCTCAAACTAAATGTTCATGAGCCAAGCCACTAAGGCGGAATCAGAAGCAGGATATGCTTTACTGGGGAGATCCTGCCATGCATAAGGGGCAGCATGAGAACGCAGGAGGCATGTAAGGGGATGCTGACTGCTGGGCGGTAGAGGCTGGGAATGCTGGCAAGCTGGGGTTAATGTTGCAGTCAGTTACTAGATCACTGAGGTACGGCAGCACTAAGTTAGGAAGGGCCATGGGCTTGTCTCTACTGTCCATTTTGTTGTGAGCAGAGGCATCTGGGACGTAGACTGAGGTGGTCAGAGTGACAAGCCAGCAAGGCAACTTGAGCAGCTGCGTTCAGAATGGACCCGAGGCAAGCAAGGTGTCATATTGGGGGCCAGTGAGGAGGGGCTGCAGTAGCCATGGTGTGAGACATTGAGGGCTGGGGTGAGAGTTTAGCTGTGTTGGCGAAGAAGAAAAGGCCAGTTTCAGAGATGCTGCTTTTTCTTATGCAGCGGGATTTGGACACAGCCTGAATATGTGGGTCAAGAGGGAAGGCCGAATCAGAGAGGTTACAGGGCTGAATGACTGTGGGGATGATAGTGTCCGCAGGAAGCTGAGAGGCTGGGGAGTGGGGCACACAAGCAGCTCAGCATTGGCCACCTGATCAGGTGAGGCAGGGTGAATGGGGGGCTGTGCTCGAAGCTGAAGCCAAGGAGCTTGAAGAAGATGATTAGTGGAGCTGGAGGTGCCAGTGGAGAGAGTGGATGGGGAGTGATGTAGGCAGGGATCGGGGCAGGAGGATGCGGCCAGAGGCTGTGTTTTGGGTGGTAGCGTGTGCCATCGGGAGGGCAGGCGCGGGAGGTTACAGCAGTCCTCACTGGAGACTAACTAGGATGGTAGCAGTTTATCAAAGATAAAGTTGGATCCCAGAAACTTGGTGGCAGAAATAGCAGGATTTGGATTCCTGAAGGAGTTTTCTGTGTATTTGTGCTACTCTTAGCGCTAGATATTTGCGGGGAGGGTTGGCAAAGGGGGGGTGTCTCCCTCATAATGTATGCTGCAATTGTGACATCACTTTATTAATGGCAAGATCCATTAGCACATGGAAATAACTTTCTAAGTGGAATCAAAATACTAGATTTCTTCCAGCCATCACTTGATAAACCCCTGTGGGAAAGTCCTGCTAGCCCTGAAGAGTCAGAGCATATGCTGGACGTGGGGGTGGGGTGGGGAGCTGGACATTTTTGATCCAAATACTAATAGTAGCGAGTGTGTGCATCCCCGTCCATGCGGGCAGGGCTACAGGTATGGTTGAAGGATCACCTTTGCTTCATTAGTAGAAAACTTGTTGGACTCTGTGGTAAAAGTTACTAGGGAGACAGGCCAAACAGTGAGGTGAGAACAGCTCTTTTCTCATAGGATTCTCCATTGTTTTGCAGATCAGAACAAGACTAATTCCTGGGATTTCTCAGCCGTGGCTGTCTGCCTCTCGTGAAGCTGCCCCCTCCCAGCCCATGCGGCTCTCCCCATGCCCCAAGCGTGCAACTGGTGCCGAACGCAATGTGTGTTTGTCAAACCATGGAAGTGGGCAAGTATGGCAAAAATGCCAGTCGAGCCGGAGAGCGAGGGGTCCTGTTGGAGCCTTTCATTCACCAGGTGGGCGGCCACAGCAGCATGATGCGCTACGATGACCACACTGTTTGCAAGCCCCTCATTTCCCGAGAACAGCGCTTCTATGAGTCCCTGCCCCCGGAAATGAAGGAGTTCACGCCTGAGTATAAAGGTGAGCCCCAGCGCTGCTGCACAATGTAGCTTCCCACTCTGTGGGGCTCCTGCAGCTGGGGGCAGGTTCTGTTTGTCATTCCCTTCACTTCTGCTGCTCTCCACTGATATGATGTGAACGGTGTGGTGGGTAGGGGTGTTCTCGGTCTATGTGTACAGGGCTGAGCATGTGGCTGATGATCAAGGAGATAATTTCAGTGCCATGCTTCATTCTGAGAAGAGTCCTGAATTAGCTCCTGACTGAGCCATGTTCAGTGTATGTGGATCGGCCGGAAAAGTCCTGTTTTGAACCCTGCCCAGATAGCCTCAGAAGGCTCGTCCTCTCACTCTTCACATCAAACAAGGAAGTTGTTAAACGGAGGTGATGGGTGCCTCTTTATACAGCTGCATGCCGAGTGTGCTGGGTTCCAGCTTTCGTTGCAGGGAAATGAATATGGAGGTATCACCAGGGTGAAGACCCTGCTTCCGGATGGCTAACAAAAGCAGAACTGAAAGTGCTGCTTCCTCTGAGCTTCCCCTAAGCTCCCGGCAGCGCTCAACACTGTTCCCCACGGCACTCAGCACTGAGTGTAAATAGAACAGTGAAGTCGGTACCTTTGCTTTCTGGGCTTGACTGTATCAGCTCTTTTCAGTACTCTGGTTCTTATGGGGTTCATCTATGGGAACAGATGTGTGGAAAATATGAACAAACTGCCAAGGCAGATGTTCTGAATCTGGTCCTAAAAATGTGAATTCCTGGTTTTCCTGACCAACTTGCTGTTTGTGAATATTCAGGGGAATGGGGGCATTTGGTGGCAGCAAAGCATGTTGAGCCGTCACCCCCTCAAAGCCTGATCTGCTTTGCAGGTACCCTGCCTTCCTATAGACGTGAAACGACTCTGTCTTGGGCGGGCTGAGCTGCATCTGTGCCAGAGTAAGGCAGTTAGATACGCTCCCTGGAGGAAGGACCTTTTCCTCTTGGCTTTCCTCAGCATTACCATTACCGCAGTCTGGATGCGGGGACTAGGTCCAATTTACAGATTCACCAGGCACTCCATGTCCGAGTGCGCTGGTGTGTGATTCATGATAGTACGTTAACCCTTGATGGGTGTCTAGCTGGTCGTCCTAAAGAGCTAGTGAAATCTTTACCCCTCTTGTATGTGCCACATTTGTCACTGAAAAACCATTCACAGATGTGTCAGAGCGTGAAAACGTTCACTTGGAACTGAGTTTTCTACCCCTCCAAATGCAAACAGTCTTTAGGAGTCACCGGGCTGACCAGGAGCACCAATAACTTTTCAAAGTGACCAAAAGCTAAAACTAACTCTGGTTTAGAGTCTTCCATCTCCAGCAGGAAGTGATTTGTGGGGCCATTGGGATATGAGGAATTGCCCTTCCCTGTGGCCAGGCTTGGCAGAGTTAGATTTGCATGTATGTAATTTCAATGGAGGAGGATGTTTGTTTTTAAGCATTTTTAAAATTTGTATCAGTTTAAATTTTCCTAGTTGTGGGAAATTATAGGGGAGTCAGACATTTATTTAGTGACAGTAGACATTGAGGTTCAAAAGGTTAAAGTTTTATAACCATTCAAACACGCACTGTCAACATCAGATGTCAGACTATCCAAAGGAAATAGCCTTACATCAAACGCAAAGCTCTTAAGCAACTGTTTCTTACATTGCTGAGCTATAAATGTCTATGACTTTGGATGGAAATATATTTTCATTGGTTTGTGTGTTTAGGGGAAACGTAAAAACCATCTCCTTCCAGGCCTAGAGGTAGGTCACTACAGGTCACCTCTTCCAGCCTCAGGTGGAAGCTTGAGTCGAGACCTGTGGGGGAGGGAGGTTCACAGCAGGAAAAGCATCACCACTGGCACATGTCAGTACAGCTCACTCGAAGCTACTCCCTCAAGCCAAGGGGCAGGACTCCTGCCAGCTAAAACTCCTCATTTCCCTCACTGCCCACTTCTCCTCCCTCCACCCCCACTCTGGTCCTCTGCCTGGCCCAGGCTCTTTGGGGGGGCACATGCTCTGCATGGCACATGCAGACTTTGGCTTCTCTTGTCCCCTTCCTGCCTGCACACTAGGTTATCCACTTGTTACCATAACTCCATCAATTGACTGCTGCACGACAGGCTTCCTGTTCCTCATGCCCCTCAGGGGTGGGAGTCCAGAACCCCAGGCTGATATGCTCAAAAGCTGGGAGCTGCTGCCATAGTCTGCCCAGGTACCCCCAGAGAGTGTTAGTGTGCCAAGGGGAAGCAGGCAAACTTACAAACATGGGGCATACCCTGTTCAGGTGCTGCTTCTCACATAGTCATGCCTCCATGAAGAAATCTTCACCTGACATGCTGGACACTGGGCTGGCTTCTCTGTGATTGTGCACCTGGTAACGAGGCAGCCAGTTGACAAATGCAGACAGCTCCCAAAAATGTGTCCATTTCCCTCCCTTTTTATCAAATTTTGAAAAATTTCACCCAGCTCTGGAAACAGGGAGAGACAGCTCAAGATGTGAGTGCAAACTCTCCTAGCCAGCAGCGATTACTGTCCTGTTAGGACTTCTACACAGGCCCCAGCCAGAGTGCCGCTTGGCAGTCTGAAGAGGAGCCCTGAGTTGGAGCTATACTGTGACATTCCCACTTCTTGTTGCCATCTCTGCAGAGTGGAGTTACTGTTGGGGGATTCCAATTCTTAACTGGGTATTTCCGGAGTCTATAAGTTTCATGGTTTTCTCCATCTTGCACTAATACACTCTCTGGGACATGTGGGGAGATTAGGGGCATGTCCATGCAAATGATACTGTGCAGCAAATTGGGTTGTAATTCTGCCACGCTCCAGCCTGCTGCAGTGCCAAGTGGCTGCGCGGGCCCAGCCGCCACGGCACTAACATGCACTTTGCTGTCTCATGCACAGGCTGTCTCATGCACTTTGCTGTCTCATGCACAGGCTGAAGCAGCATTACAGTAGAGTTCCCTTGGGAACTTTTAATGCACAGCAGCAGGTTCACCCAGACAGTTAGTGTGCAGCACGCTGGAGCGCTCTAGATTTACACCCCAGCTTGCCGTGCAGACATTGCTCAGGTAGACGTGCCAAAGTGAGCAGCTCCTGACTTTCTAATGCCTGAGTTGGGGGCTTGGAGTCCAATGCCCCAGTGGGCACCGGGAGCTTGACTGCTCAAGCCACAACCCACCAGGGAGAACTTGTATACACAGTGGCTCTTAAGGAGACATCCTTAGCAATTGCTGTGGACAGTTGTTGCATCAACCCCAGCTCTAGCTGCAGGTCTGCACCCTTCCCTCAACACCCCCAAAGCACCCCTGGAGCACGGTGGCAGGGGACTGTGGTGGCCTGTGCATGGAGGCTGCCTCAGGTTCAGGAGTGCCATGACTCACAGTAAGATCACAGCTCCAGGAATGCCAGCTCAGTAATCGACTCGGTGTGCCCAGGTGCAGCCCAGCAGCGGCTCTCCCCACAAACCTTAGAAAGCGCCTCTGCCTTAATCATAGACTATAAGGGTTGGAAGAGACCTCAGGAGGTCATCTACTCCAACCCCCTGCTCAAAGCAGGACCGATCCCCACCTAAATCATCCCAGCCAGGGCTTTGTCAAGCCTGACCTTAAAAACTTCTAAGGAAGGAGATTCCACCACCTCCCTAGGTAATACATTCCAGTGTTTCACCATCCTCCTAGTGAAAAAGTTTTTCCTAATGTCCAACCTAAATCCCCCCCACTGCAACTTGAGACCATTACTCCTCGTTCTGTCATCTGGTACCACTGAGAACAGTCTAGAGCCATCCTCTTTGGAACCCCCTTTCAGGTAGTTGAAAGCAGCTATCAAATCCCCCCTCATTCTTCTCTTCCGTAGACTAAACATCCCCCGTTCCCTCAGCCTCTCCTCATGAGTCATGTGTTCCAGTCCCCTAATCATTCTTGTTGCCTTCTGCTGGACTCTTTCCAATTTTTCCACATCCTTCTTGTAGCGTGGGCCCCAAAACTGGACACAGTACTCCAGATGAGGCCTCACCAGTGTCGAATAGAGGGGAACGATCACGTCCCTCGATCTGCTGGCAATGCCCCTACTTATGCAGCCCAAAATGCCATTGGCCTTCTTGGCAACAAGGGCACACTGTTGACTCATATCCAGCTTCTCGTCCACTGTCACCCCTAGGTCCTTTTCTGCAGAACTGCTGCCGAGCCATTCGGTCCCTAGTCTATAGCGGTGCATTGGATTCTTCCGTCCTAAGTGCAGGACTCTGCACTTGTCCTTCTTGAACCTCATCAGATTTCTTTTGGCCCAATCCTCCAATTTGTCTAGGTCCCTCTGTATCCTATCCCTACCCTCCAGCATATCTACCTCTCCTCCCAGTTTAGTGTCATCTGCAAACTTGCTGAGGGTGCAATCCACCCCATCCTCCAGATCATTTATGAAGATATTGAACAAAACTGGCCCCAGGACCGACCCTTGGGGCACTCCACTTGATACCGGCTGCCAACTAGACATGGAGCCATTGATCGCTACCCGTTGAGCCCGACAATCTAGCCAGCTTTCTATCCACCTTATAGTCCATTCATCCAGCCCATACTTCTTTAACTTGCTGGCAAGAATACTGTGGGAGACAGTGTCAAAAACTTTGCTAAAGTCAAGGAACAACACGTCAACTGCTTTCCCTTCATCCACAGAACCAGTTATCTTGTCATAGAAGGCAATTAGAATTGCCCTTGGTGAATCCATGCTGACTGTTCCTGATCACTTTCATCTCCTCTAAGTGCTTCAGAATTGATACCTTGAGGACCTGCTCCATGATTTTTCCAGGGACTGAGGTGAGGCTGATTGGCCTGTAGTTCCCAGGATCTTCCTCCTTCCCTTTTTTTAAAGATGGGCACTACATTAGCCTTTTTCCAGTCATCTGGGACCGCCCCTGATCACCATGAGTTTTCAAAGATAATGGCCAATGGCTCTGCAATCACATCCGCCAACTCCTTTAGCACTCTCGGATGCAACGCATCCAGCCCCATGGACTTGTGCACGTCCAGCTTTTCTAAATACTCCCAAACCACTTCTTTCTCCACAGAGGGCTGGTCTCCTCCTCCCCATGCTGTGCTGCCCAGTGCAGTAGTCTGGGAGCTGACCTTGTTCGTGAAGACAGAGGCAAAAAAAGCATTGAGTACATTAGCTTTTTCCACATCCTCTGTCACTAGATTGTCTCCCTCATTCAGTAAGGGGCCCACACTATCCTTGACTTTCTTGTTGCTAACATACCTGAAGAAACCCTTCTTGTTACTCTTAACATCTCTTGCTAGCTGTAACTCCAGGTGTGATTTGGCCTTCCTGATTTCACTCCTGCATGCCCGAGAAATATTTTTATACTCATCCCTGGTCATTTGTCCAATCTTCCACTTCTTGTAAGCTTCTTAATCTACCAGAACTGGCACAGGGAGCCAGAATAGGCTTTGGAGGCCCCACAGCCAGTATCCAAATTAGCTGATTCGACTCCTGGGCAGCCCTTATGAGTCTCCAAAAAGCTGTGGAAACCCCAGTGAGCTCCATACTGGTGGGGGTGACCCCAGCAGCTCACAAGGCAGGTAGTTCTTGTGCCTGTTCCCTCCCTCTCGCTGCAGGATCTTAATGCCTCCCAGCCACTTCTGGCTGTACCCAGCCAACACCCAGGAGAGGTGGGGAGCTGTTACCCCCTGTACAGAGGGCCTGAGGCCCAGAGAAACAAAGGCCACCTCCAAACATTTTGGTCTAAGTTACTTACCCAGCATCACATAGAAAGTCAGTCAGGGCCTGCATTCAAACCCAGCTCACCTGGGTCCCAGGCTAATGCTTTAGCAATGTGACCAAACAGAAAGTAACTGTCACCTTAACTGAACTGGCCATCCCACATAACTCAACCACTGACCCAGCTACTAGATAGATAACACGGGAGTGGTGGTCTTATTTAGTCTGCAGAAGAGAAGAGTGAGGGGAGATTTGATAGCAGCCTTCAACTACCTGAAGGGGAATTCCAAAGAGAATGGAGCTAGGCTGTTCTCAGTGGTGGCAGATGACAGAACAAGGAGCAATGGTCTCAAGTTGCAGTGGGGGAGGTCGAGGTTGGATATTAGGAAACACTATTTCACTAGGAGGGTGATGAAGCACTGGAATGTGTTACCTAGGGAGGTGGTAGAATCTCCATCCTTAGAGGTTTTTAAGACCCGACTTGACAAAGCCCTGGCTGGGATGATTTAGTTAGTGTTGGTCCTGCTTCGAGCAGGGGGTTGGACTAGATGACCTCCTGAGGTCTCTTCCAACCCTAATCTTCTATGATTCTGTGATCAGGATTCTGGATTAGGGGCTCAATTCCTGACCTGTACAAGACGTGTGATCCAGTGGTTAGACAGGATAGACAAGCAATAGATTTAGCACATTCACTTCCAAAGGCAACGTGGATGAGACCTGGGTTCTTTCCCTAGCTCTACTGGAAGTGACCTGCAACCTCAGTTGTTGTATCTCTAAAATGAGGCAGTGGGGTAGGATAGCTGCCTGTTCCTACAGTAGGGTATGGGACCTCAGTAAAAAGGGCTGTCTGTGTAGGGCTCAGAAATATTATCAGCAGCCAGTGGAATAGGAATCTTGAACTCATGCGGGGTCCCAGAGCTGTCATGGCTTGCAGTTCCCTGATTGCATCTGTGCAGTATTGCTACAAGCTGGGTAGTGACTGTGTGTGTACAGCCGGACACAGTCTCATGGAGCACTGGAACAAGTCATTTCTGGAGCTGAAGACTAGCTCTCGCTGGGTGCAGACCAGGGATAGGAGTGTTGTGTGAATCTTTCCTCCTGTTCTCTCTCTCTCTCTCGGGACAAAAGCCCTATGTTTGATAGGGCTGTATCACAGCAACCTCTTGACCAAATGCCCCCACATTTGCATTATGAATTCTCCCGAGTCCTGAACTGCCGTGTCCATTTTCAGTCAATCTGATTTAAATAGGGTTGAAAACTGGGCTTTAAACAGAAACCCTGTTGTCACTATGGAGTTGCTAGCATAACTAGGATAATTCCCAGGACGGGTGTCTGGCATGTGCTTCCTCTGCTAGCTTCCTCATGCTGCTGAAGGGTAAAATGTCTGTTGTAACAATCCACCCCAATTTTGGACTGCAAAAACCAAGCCAGGAGACCAGAGATCCCAAGTAGAAATGCTTAATTCACTACCATGGATCCTTCTCTTGGTTCTCCAGTGATGGGCACATGGCTACTATTGCTTGCTGTCACAGATAGGCACTCATTTAATTTAGAAATACAAAAAAACTACATTAATGTTTTTTACTGAGTGAATTAGAAATCTGAATTGCTGATGACTTCTTCGAGCAAGAGCTCTGAGGAGTGCTGTTCGGAATGCCTAGGTGAATTTCCTACCTGTCCTCCTAGAAGAGGACCAGAAAAGCGCCTTCCTGAACTGGAGACATCACATAGATGCGTCCATAACTAGTTGGAGTGACCATCTGAGAGACGTTGCACCGAGTCTCCCTTGGGCCCCTCCAATGGCAGTGTCAGTTGAGGAGTCACTAGCATTCGGTTTAGACCACACCTTGAGCTGTGGCTTTCGAAGATGCAGAGAGGCAACACTGCCTCAGCAAACAGACTGCTGGGTGCGGGGTGAACCTTGCCTGCATTAGCTGAAGCGCAAGCTGCTGACGTGGCAGGAGGATAAGAGATGAAACTTTCAGGCTTTCTGTAAATTGAGGATGATGTGTTGGTGGGCTTCCTGTGACTGCTGAGGCTGCCCTGCCTGTAGGCGTTCAGCCACCATTGCCATGCCCTCCTCTGCGGGGCTAGGAACCCCACAGTGATTGCTACGTGTTCATACATCAGTGCCAGTAGCTGGGTGTGGTAGTTTGTTTGAGGAATTTTCCCTTTGCAAGATCCTCGTGCAGGTTGCAGCATCTCGGATCCCTTCCTGTAGAACTGGTCCACGGTTCTAGGTTTGTACTGGTGCTGTCTGCTTTCCCTTCCCTGCTGACAGCTCTTACACTGCCAGTCACAGACATGCACAGCTACCCCTTGTGGGACTGCTTGGATTGAGATAAGCTATCTCTCTCTGGTAGGTGTGGTGTCTGTCTGCTTTGAGGGAGACAGTGATGGCTACATTAACTTGGTAGCATATCCCTACGTGGAGAGCGAGGCCTTGGAGCAGGATGACATGCCAGAGAGGGACCAGCCTCGGCGTAAGCATTCCCGCAGGAGCCTTCACAGATCCAGCAGTGTTGGTGAGCACAAGGAGGAGAGACCCAGCCTGGCCAATGACAACCCTGAGAGGTAAAAGGACGGGGGCTGGGAACAGTGCAGACTGCAAGCACACCACTTCGTCATCCCTCGGTCAGCTCTGGGGCTTCCTGGCAGAATAGCTTTCCTTTGCACTCCCCATGTCGTACAGTGACTGGCCCCAGGAAGTGATGCAGTGCAGAGCTTGCTGGAGTGTGGTCCCTGGCTCACTTGTCAGTGCGCACACCTGGCTGTCACACACTGCCCACTTCTAGGCAGCATCTCGTCCCAGTCACTGGCCTGGTCCTTCCCTCTCTGAGATATGCTCAGGCTGGAGCCACGAGGCCCCTGGGGACTAGCTGCCACTGTGGCACATTCTTGAAGGTCCCTGGGGCAAGCTCTTTGCCTGCTGGGGTGATCTAGAGGAAGGTTCCCCTTTCAGCAGCCTGTGCCCTCCACTGATCCTGATCCTGCTTTGTGCAGATAGGCCCCCTCCAGCATGGAGGCTCTGTTGCAGGCTCGCCCTGGAAGAATTGCTGGCTTTCACTGAGACTAGAGACTGACATTGCTGGGTTGGAGGTCCGGGCATATAACAGGAGAGGGGATGGGAGGTCTGGTGATGGGAGGTCTTGCCAGGAAAAGGTATTGGGGTCTGGTGCTGTAGTCTAACTCCTGGCTGTGACAGATTAGCTATCTAGCCAAGGACTCCCTAGCATGCATGTGTTCTCTTCTTTGTGCCAGCAGCATCCAAGAGACAAAGAGCCCCAAGGTGGAGCTGCACATCCATTCCGATGTTCCGTTTCAGATGCTGGATGGGAACAGCGGCCTGAGCTCAGAAAAGATCAGCTACAACCCATGGAGTCTGCGCTGCCACAAGCAGCAGCTGAGCCGCATGCGATCGGAGTCCAAGGACCGAAAGCTCTACAGTATCCTCCAGAAAGCAGAGCCAGGGCAGCTGGCTGCGTCTGCCAGAACGTTGCCGGCAAAGGCTTCCCACCTCTGCAAGGAGTGACGGGCACCTCGCCCTTGGCTAATGCTCAGAGCACACATTCCCTTTGCCATCAACACAAGCAAAACCAGCTGGGCCAAAGACTGGGGCCCCTCTTCCATTACTCCTTCCATCTGTCCCTGCAGCAGTGTCTGTCCAGGCACCTGGGAGGATTGTCAGGTTTCTGCCAAGGACACTGGCAGTGCCTGCTGGCTAGGTGCCACCTGTATCACCAGGTCATGTCTCCCCTTCTGGTCCCTCTGACAGAGACTGGGCTCATATTTTCCTGCCTGGTACTACTGCCTTGTGGGCTCTCTCCTTTTCTCCCTACTGGGCTTGTCGTATTCCCCTCTTCTTGGCTGCTGTGTCCCTGACTCCCTTTTGTCCCCTTGTGCCCACTCCCCAGAGTGTGTTACCGCTCCAGGAGTCCCCAGAGAACTTTCTTGGTTCCTGGTGGTTGGCAGCTCTGAGAGATGAAATCTCCTTGACATGTTTCTTAGAGTTTCTTTTGCTGGAGAATGTGGTGCACCATTTCCGATTTCCCTGTGTGCTTGACCTGAAGATGGGGACCAGGCAGCATGGAGATGATGCTTCTGAAGAGAAGGCTGCTCGGCAGATGAAGAAGTGTGAACAGAGTACCTCAGCCACGCTGGGCGTGAGAGTCTGTGGAATGCAGGTACAATATCCCAGGGTTTGTCTGGGGTAGCCTGTGGCACAAAGACATCTTCCCCACTCCTCCTCGAACATCCCCAGCCACTAGGGCAAAGTACAGCAGGATAGTGCTTTCCGCTGGGCAGTGTACCTGTGACACTTCTTCCTTCCCAGCCCCTTGACAGCTTGCCACCAGTTGTGTGTTCCAAAGAGTGCATGCTGTTACACATCACTTCCCTCTCTGTTCCACTGGAATGAGGGAGTCTATAACTTCTCATGGGGTGGAATGGGCCATGGCCTGCTTTGCACAGTAACCAAATGTACTGAGTGTTCTAGAGAAGTGCTAAAATCCAGCAAGCCTAATTAGTAAGGAGCCTAGCAATTGATGCCTATTCCAGCCAGATCAGTGGTACCTGTGGCCTGGGGTCTTGTTTCAGTAGCATCTCACACACAGTCACAGGCCACTTGTGGCTTCCACTTGTGTGTGTGTGTGTGTGGGGGGGGTTCCTTTCTTCCCTTCTGGGTATGCCCTGAAGCATAAGGAATGAGTGCCCTTGTACTCCTACTCTGGCTAGTGTGATGGGGAGATGCCCTGGTCCTTTTCTGGAATCTGATTCTGCAGCAGTGAGTGCCACGGGTTAGTCGTATGCCACGCTGAGGGGCAGACCCTTCTTAGCAATCCCTCCATTCCATGTGGCTCAGCTGCTGACACACTCAGCACTGATCCATCTGGTCATGTGTGAAGATTCTCCCCACCCCACTACTTTGGACACACTTTGCTGTGCTAACAGATGTGCTGCTCTCTGCTTCTGGAAAGGGAAACCCAGCCTGGGCAGCCTTCAGTATCCCAGGCAGTGTGAGAAGGGAAGTGCCAGTTTGCCTGTAAGGTTTCCAGGAGCACCAAAAGTATTACAGACCTGCCTGCTGCTGAGTCTCAGGAGGTTCCCTCAGTGTCACGCCATAGGGCAGTCCAGTCTTTCTATGTAACTGTGTGTCACTAGCACTTCCCATGCTTCCCACCTAACATGAGCTCTGGTATTCTAGGTCTATCAGCTGGACACAGGACATTACTTATGCAGAAATAAGTACTATGGCCGTGGTCTCTCCATCGAGGGGTTCCGTAATGCCCTCTACCAGTACCTCCACAATGGCCTAGAGTTGCGCAAGGACCTCTTTGAGCCCATACTCGCCAAACTCCGGAGCCTGAAGGCTGTGCTGGAGAGGCAGGCATCCTACCGCTTCTACTCCAGCTCCCTCCTCATCATTTATGACGGGAAGGACAATAGGGCAGGCATGTTCATGGAGCGCAGGGCAGAGATGCGCCTAAAGCGAGTGGACACCTCTCTCCCAGAGAGCCTGCAGGATGACAGCAGCACAGAGCCCAGCCCCTCCGCCCTGCCCAAGGTGGATGTGCGCATGATTGACTTTGCACACAGCACGTTCAAAGGGTTTCGGGATGACCCCACTGTGCATGATGGACCTGACATGGGCTATGTATTCGGGCTGGAAAGCCTAATCAATATAATGGAACAGATGCGGGAGGAGAACCAGTAGGCCTGGGCTGTGCCCGTTCATTCCTACCCTGGTGGCAGGAGCAGGAAAAAGCAAGCAACTTTGGTATTCAGTGGTTCGTTTGCTCCCTTGTTTATAACTGTCCCCTAGGCTGGAAGAGCTGTGTGAGGAGTGTGAAGATCTCTGCCGTCCTGCTGCCCGTGTGGTTCTGATTCCACTGGCCTTACCTTCTGGAGGAGGCTCCCAGGGGCCCCACTGGATGATGGGCTTGCTGCTGTTGTGCATCGATCTCTTCATTGTGTATGCATTCTGGAAGGAGGACCTGGCCACAGGGAAGAGAGGAGTAAGCCAGCCCTTCAGGGTGGAGATGAGGGTTCCGACTGGAATTCCACTGCCTCTGCTTCCCAGAAGTCCCAGCAGAGCCTTTGGTTTGAACCTCTTCTGTCATTTGGAAAGGGCGTTCATTGAAATGAGCCAGAAATATCTATGGGGGCTGATGGGCGCAGCACACTCATGCTGTTTCCTATGGTACCAGCTGTTTGGTGCAGCTAGCCCTGCCCCAGGGGTGTGATTGATTTGATTGGGGTGTTACTTTATGATACGACATTTATCTTCTCCAGTTTGGGCATTGTGGCAAATCATCCCAAATGGGCAGGAATAAATGACCAAACAAAACCCATTGCAGAGCTGCAGCAATGGGTAAATCACCTTGCCCCAGTTGCTGTGGGGTCAGTCAGGGAGGCTTTGCTACCACCCCTCGCCACCATCTGCAGCTGGCAGAGAAACTTGTGCAGGGCTGTAAGGGCAGGCCAAGGATAAGAATGAGGTTCCTGTGCGATTGACCCTGCCTTGGTGCATTGATTCAATGAGAGTTCAGCTAACTGGCCGGCAGTAGTGTTGACAGCAAGTGAATTCACTCCCCAGCTCTTCCACTGGAGTATATCAAGCTAGTCCCAACCTCAATGTTTGTATAGCATAGGCACAGCAGCTGGGATGGGCGTGTCTTCTGAGCCACATCCAGACCTGGCACTGCAGCACAAGACTGTTGCTTCTTTGACTCCTCCCAGGGCAAGGCTGACCCCTTCCACACTCTGGAATAGTCCGTCATACTCCCTGGGGTGGGAAAAGGGAAATGGCTGAGGGGACGGGGTTTCAGCCTTAGCTTGGAAGGATCCTAGTGGAGTTAATGAGGAAGAAGAGTCTTAGCTGAACTGACGGAGGGCTTCAGGCTGTCCCCATCATGTTGTCTATTGAGCCCCATGCTGGAGTTGCTCATTCGCAGAAGTGCCCCTTCTGTGGGTGGAAGTAGCTGTCTGGCTGGCATGGTGACCCCCAGCTGGAAGCACTGCCATCACTACCTGGCCTACCCTCAGGGAGCTGATATCTGCTGGCTTGTGTTAGGGTTGGATACAGCTAAACATTACTTGGCTATGCTCTGGCCCTATTCTCCACTCCCACTAGTGGATTTCTGTGCTGGGGACTTGAATGACAGCAGGGAAAAGAGGTGCTCTGAGCTAAATGAAAGCATCAGGTAAATCAGCTACATGAAAGCCTGATCGAAGCTGTCCAGTCTCCAAGCTGAGGATGGACACTGTGCCTGTGGCTCAGGGTATTCTGTGTCAGAGGGATTCTCCACCTAGATGTCATTTCCATGGCCCTGAGACTAGCTCTTCTAACCCAAACTGTCATCTGCGGGTGAGGGGGCATTGCCATCTGCGGTTGCTGCAGAGAGTGCAGGATTTGGGGCCGTTGGGTCTCAATCCTGTTACTGCTAGTTGGGGGGAAGAGGGGAGCAGTGCTTGAGTTTGTGCTAAAGCTTAAGACTGCCCTGTCTCTTTACTACTCTTCTGAGCTTGGTTAAAGCCCATGTCCCCATCAGGCCTTGCAGATGGGGGCTGGACTCTTGGCCATGGCATTAGCATTTAAGTTACTCCTCCCTCCACGTCCATGAGCTCTTCCTCCCCAAGCAGCTGCTAATGGGATTTTCTCAGTGGCCAGGACACAGCAGTCAAAGGTGGGCTGCTGGAAGCAATACAGTTATTTCCATGGTTGAAGCAAAGAAGTCCAAGTTAGCTGGGCAGAAATGCATTGAGGTCCTTGTGCATCGTGTCCAATCAAATCCTAGTCAAATGGCCTGCCTTCTTCACTGGCCCTGCTATGGCAGGTAGCGCTAATGCGAGGCATTTCACACCAGGGAGGGGACTCGTCCACATATGGTTGCTTGGTCTTTCAGCATTCCCATTGTCCCCTATTCTGGGTATTGTTGAGGGAAGCGGAGATATGTGTTACAGTTCTCGTGTCTCCCATTGGATCCTGCACTGAAGTCCTAATGCTGAGTGTGGCACCTCAGCCATCCTGGTGAGGCTTGTACGTTGGCTTTGGTCCAGTACCAACCTGTATTACATCCTGGATCCAAGGTCACACCGACATAGCTGGACTGTACGGGAGATCTTGTCTGTACACCAGTCTCCTCAGTCATAGTGAGGTGTATACACAGATCACTAGCAACATGGTGCGTTCCCTGTTTGGCTTCTTGTGATTCCCCTTGCAAAGTATCTTTGGACCATCCCGACAAAATTTCCAGAACTTGTAAATAGCCTTGACTACGGAATTGTTCTGCTTGTTGGAGGGGTTTTTATTCTGTTTGTGCTTCATGAAAAACCTAAAGAAATGAAGGGTTTAGTTTTGCCATTGCTGCAGTGTTACATTTCTACACAGCATGATCACAACGCACAGCCTTGCTCAGCAGCAATAACCCTTCCCATCCAGCTGAGTGCAGTGACATGCAGGACATGGCGTTGGATGGGCTTCAGGCTGGGCCGGAGATGAATGCAAGTGCCTTGGACTTCTGGAGGCTTGAGTTGGTTATCTGGCTTAGAGCACAAATGGAATGGCTGTTTTCCTGCTAATCCCTCCTAGACACCAACACACTCCTTGTCACCCTTGCCACAGCCTCCTTAATACAGACATAACTGGAATTGAGGTACATAGGTAGAGCCAGTTGTGGGACACTCCCCCAGAGCATACATGATGGAAGTGAGGCACTTTCACGTCTGGCTGTCAATCCAGGGCAAGTTAGTAACTTGAAGGCAGCCCAATGGGCACGCTGTGTGGGCAGCCCTTGTATCTTGGCACTTCCTTGAACCCAGAGCAACATGGGGCAGTGGAAGTGACAATAGAAAGGCTTCAAGTAGGAGCTGGCCAGGTCAGCACATGAAGAAAGTCTTTTCCTCAGCTGCTCTTTGCAGTAAGATTTCTAGATGATTGCTCTGGACGAACATGGAGCCGTTGCTGGATTTTATCTCCCTCTTGCTCGTGGAGATACAGCATAGAGCTCAATGCTGGCTTTGCAAGCAGCTCTGGTTGATGTTTCCAAGGCAGTAAATATCTCCAAAAGTGAAACTTGCAGATCCATTGGCTCCTGGTAGCCTCACAGCTTGCCCTGCCTTGCAGAGAAGGGAATGAAGTCAACCCCAGGTGTCTGCTTCTGCCCAGGACTCATACAGGATGTTCTTGGCACCTTCTCTGTTATGTGGATGGGGTTTGTTGCTGGTTTGCAGAGATTGTTACTTTACTAGTTTGGGTGAAACAAAGTTACTGTTAGGAACTGTAGCCCCAAGCATGGCCAGGGTGAGAGCATTTGCTGTTAACACTGTAGCAAGTGTCCTTTCCCTTCTGGGACCAGGAACCAGGAGTCTCTAGATAGCCACTTCTTGAGCAATGTGCCAGCCCCTGGCTACTACCTCTGTCTAGGCAAATCCTCACATTAGATAATTATGTGGTTAGCAGAATCCTCGTAGAGCTGATCCTATTTAAAAATGGGTTCTGTATTTTTCATTGTGGAACTCCCCAGTCATTCCCCAAAGCCAAATGGTTCAGTATTTCATTGGTTTGACTTCAGAGAACAAACGAAAAGGTGCTTTTCTCCCCTGCCCTGGGAAGCAGTGTTGTAACTGGTTAACCTACCACAAAGAGGTAGGAGTGAGTTGATGTGATGTAACCCTGACCTAATTTCCCAAGTGAGTGCACCCTTATGTTTAAATGTAGAGGACTGACTGACCTGGTCATAAATGCAGCTGCTTGGTGTTGGAGTCCAAGGTTACGGGGATGCTTTTTGGTCAGGCCTTTCCTAAAAAACTATTTTGCATGCATTGTACACAGTCAAATCCACTTCAGGTGTGTGCGCGTAAATAGTCCTTCAGTCCTGTCAAGCAGCATAACCTGTTTGCCTCCTTTCAGAGCTTGCGAACATTTCACGCCCATCAGCGTGAACTTCTGTAGTAGAATATACACGCACTCTGTAGTTGCCTTCATGTAGAAAGATGGACCTGCTTTCAGCCTTTTGGAATACATAGCCAGTCAATCTCTAGCAATAGTATGATCTGCCAGCATTGAGAGCATGTGTAGGTCTATTATCAATGCAAGGGTTTTTCTGTGTCTAGGTCCCTGGTCTTACAAACATGGACAAAAGAGAACAAGACTGTTCTTCAGATAAACACTCTGTGGTTGGGAGGGTAGCCAAACCCCAAGGGGCTTGTTTTATTGCCTAAAGCCATGAGGATTTGGATGAGTTGCTGCTGTCTTGGGGAAGATATTGGGGAGTCTTCCTCTTTTCCTGGCCTGGCCTGTAACTTGTCCTACCCTGTAACTTGTCATTGGCAGCTCTTCTTGCTGTGTCAGTGGGAGTGGAAGCTGCTTTCCCTAGCTAGCAGCTTTGATGTTTGAGTTGGGCTGGTAAGTGTAATCTCTGTATAAGAACTAGCAGATCTAAGGCTTTGAAGCCTTCCTGTGGAGATGTTGAAATCTGCGTAAAGCACACCTGGCTCCAAAGTGGGTAGCATATTTTGTGCAGTTTCTGTGAATTTGGCCCCTTACGGGTAGTGGCTCTTCTCAACTCTTGTGCTCGAGCAAAAGCTGCAGGGAGCCAGTTCCCTCAGTGCTGGAGAAGGGCATGAAGGAGTTGACTCATCAGCTGTAACTTCCTCATTCCTGCACCCTAACCTGTGAGACCTCAGGCTTGTGCCAAACAGCCCTGTCCCCACAGAGGACCAAACCGTGACTCAGGGCCCGCCTGCATGCCTGCTGCTCCTGCATGTGTTGTGTTATGGGGCCAATGGAGCAGCAGTAGCAGCTCGAGGATGTTTGCCCAACCCAGAGCTATGTTACCTAATTCATCATATAAAGCTGATGTTTGAGATAATGTGGAGGTGCAGTCTGTAGATGTGGCAGCTCCCCAGCATGCACTGCTCCGTTGTGATGCAATCAGCCTGGTTGTACTTCTTGCTCTATAGGCCAAACCTCCATGTTAAAGCGGAGAGCAGTGGCATTCTGACTTCCTGGAGGGGCGACTGTTGAGAATCCAGTCCTGCAACTTTCTCGTTTTATGATGGGCCCCATCTCCTCGTTTCCCACTCCCGGACTCTGCCCAGAACAGAGTCACCCAAACCAGAAGTTCAGACTTTGGTGTTTGTATTTGTACTGTTATTGCATGTTTATCTCAGGAGCAAAATGCTTGTGTACTTGAAAGGTCCAGGTGTGGAGGGATCTGTGGCAAGTGTAGAAGGATTTGTTACTGGGGGAAGGGAGGGGACCCTCTGAAGCAGAGAGCTTTAACCCTCTCCTGCCCTGCATCCCTTTGGCTTGTCTGGGAGGTATGCAGCATCATATTGTCTTCGAGCATTTCCTGCATATTTTTTTAATTCTCTTTCAGCCCCACTTTACTGGGCCAAGTCAAGCTTATGGGCATGAAAAGTACCAGTACCTGTACTCCAGACGCTGCAATGTTACCTCTCCTGCTGTCTCTAAAGTCATGTATATACAAATAAAAGCGGTTAGAAATTTAGCAGTCATGTGCACGTCTCTCTGTGCTGTTGTTTTCTCCCACCAAACATTTCCCAAACTCGTGGTATCAGGTAGGCTGCAGGAGTGCCCACCAGGCACTTCCTTACCACAGATAGAGAATGATCTATAAAGATAAAGCTGAATTGGTGGGGGAGGGGATGTAATATACATGCCAAGCAGTTGAGGTGGTGATAGTGTGGCTGTGCCATCTTTGATCTGAGTACATTGCACTGGGTATGGTGGGAAAATTGACCAGAGAGGAATCCAGGGACTGCTATGAGAAAACATCAGCCTATGCTTCCTCTAACTGCTGTGCAATCTCAGACACTGCCTGGGAAAGGATCTCCACAGTCCATTGGATATCAGTGTGGCCTTGGTTACGGAGGCACCAATAGTGGCTTCATAGTTAAGGTTGAGTTTTGCAACTTAGGGATTCAGCTTCTTACGGAGGAAGAGTACAGTGTACCCTCCATACATTCTGATTTTCTGAATGGCTTCATTCTCTCAATCTAGAAGGCTAACACCCTGTGGACAGCTAGAGAGTGAAGTCTTTGCTCCCTGCCACTGGAATGAAACTTAGGGTAGAATCAGGAGAAAGATGTCCTGATTGATGTGGAACTGTGATACAACCTTCGGTAGGAAAGCAGGGTGAGGTCTGAGCTGAACCTTGTCCTTACAGAACACGGTGAAAGGGGGCTCTGATGTTAGGGTCTTAAACTCAGACACCCTCCTGGCCAAGGTTATCGCTATCAGGAATGCGACCTTGTAAGAGAGGTAGAGTAGGGAGCACGCTGCCAAGGGCTCAAAGGGCAGTGCCCTGAGTCTAGAAAGGACCAGGTTGAGGTCCCAAGGTGGGACAGGCTGCTGGACGTGAGCGTATAGGCTGTTGAGACCTTTTACAAATTGGCTGACCATCAGGTTAGCAAAGACAGAGCGGCCTCCATGCCTGGGTGGAATGCCGCGATGGCGGCCAAGTGAACCCTTACTGACAACATTGAAAGCCCCTGCTGCTTCAGATGGAGGAGGCAGTCCAGAATAAGTGGCACTGGGGTAGCGTTGGGAGCAAATGATGCTCTGCCGACCAGATTGAAAATCTCTTCCACTTGGCAAGGTAGGCAGCTCTCATAAAGGGTTACCTGCTGCTAAGGACTTGTCTAACCTGGTCTGAACAGGAAAGGTCCACTGGGTTCAACCTCGGAGTTTCCATGCTGTGAGGTGCAGCACCTCAAGGTTCGGATGTTGGAGACAACCATGATCTTGTATCAGGAGGTCAGGAGGAGTGGCAGGGCAACTGGAGCTTCCACAGACATGTCTAGGAGAGATGTGCACCCGTGCTGGCAGGGCCAGGCTGGAGCTATCAATATGACCTGAGCTTGTTCCCTCTGGAGCTTGAGGAGTACCTTGTGAATGAGCGGTATGGGCAGAAAGGTGTATAGAAGACAACCTTCCCATGGGAGGAGGAAAGCGTCTGTGCTGGAGACTGGGCTGTGATTTTTTTGGAAGGAGCAGAACTGCTGGCAGTTCCTGTTGCGTTGCATGGTGAATAGGTCTATCTGGGGAAATCCCCATTTCTGGAAGATTGAATTCACGACGTCTGGGTGAAGGGACCACTTGTGGCCATGAAAGGACCTGCTGAGGTGGTCCGCCAGCTCGTTCTGTACACCAGAGATCCGTGTGACATCATCGCTAGCTTTCCCTTTGACTGAACAGGGTGCTGGGATGGAGCCTCTGGTGCCAGCACATCCACCTGCTTTGGGGGCGAGAATGGCACCGTGAGTCTCAGCAGGTCCTGCGCCGCCTCAAAAGCCTCCGGGGTGGACAGGAGCAGCAGGTGCTCCAAGGAATTCAGCGAGCAGGATGGGCCTGGACTAGACTACCTCACTTGGGCAGGAGTCGATGTAGCCCCTCTCAGAGCAGTGGCCCAACTGAGGTGCCACTGATGGATGGTCCCTGGATCTTGCCGAGGGGGATCAGCCTCTTTCCGCCGTCATCTTCTGCGCGGTGATTGGGATCGGTGCCGAAGGCTGGAGTGCCCCCGAGAGACTCCATGGCGGTCTCGAGCCTCCTTGGAAATGTCGTTTTTCGACGCCGCATCTCTCAAAGACGGTGCTGGAGGGCTCCACACCGAAGAAGACGTACTGGGAGCAGGATCCCTGGTGCCAGGGTCTGACTGAGGTCAGAGAGCTGTCTCCATAAGGAGGACTTTATGCCACTACTCCCTCTCTTTAAGAGTTCTTGGTTGGAATGCCTGACAGATCTTGCAGTGGTCTTTTTGGTGACCTTCGCACAGACACCGTAAACAGGAGGTGTGGGGGTCACTTTTAGGCATGCACTTCGTGCAGTCTTGGCAAGTCTTGAAGCCCAGGGATCACGGCATGCCCTAGTGACAAATAGGTGGGGGGAGAAAAATGAGGGAGGGAACCCCCCATAATTGAAACTTATAAATGAACTATCTACACCAACTAGAATTATCTATCTATGGCGAAAAGTGAAAGTACAGCTAAGCCCCTTGCCGAAGCAAGAGCAAGGGGAAGTTCAGCCATCGTCACTGGTGGTAAGAAGGAACTGAGAGGGTGGCGGGTCAGCAGGGCCTTTTATTGGGCGCCATGAAGGATGCTGCTAGAGGAGAAAATTTCTGGCTACTGTGCACGTCCACAAACCTGACTGGAATGGAGATGAGCAAGCAATCGAAGAAGAGCCATTATTCCATCTCATTTATAGTTAAGGGCAGCTAAATAGCATGACATCAGAAGTAACTCAGCCAGTCACCACGGCTAGTCCTCTACAGCTAACTTACCTGTTGCAATGTTTTTGGTTAAAGTGAGTCAAGGGCATGAGGGGGAGCAGACAGGGATGAGGAGCTCTCATTACATTTGAGCAGCTGTGCACAGATAGCGCAGGGGCTTGGCTCTAGGTCCTGCCCTACTTCCACTCTCAGCTTTCTCTCAGTGGGGTGCCCAGGTACTGCTGGACTACCTCAATTCAGTCTTCTCCCCCAGAGAGGGTACATGTGGGGGGATCCAGTTCAGCATTCTGTATGGAGGGGCAGCATAATGTCACCAGTCCCCCTGCGGGCAGTGAGGGAGCAGAAAGCACACAGGGGCAGGAGCATCATACCCACACTGGGATGGGTGGGGAGATCTTGCCTCACGCAGCTAGAAGCAAAGAGGAAGATGAGCGACCTAAGAAAAAGATTGAGACTCCCTTCCACAGCCGAAGAACTTGAAAAGTCAATTCTTAGACACGAGGCCTGTTGAATGGGGGTTCAGCCTCAGCAAGACCTATAATTGTGAGCGGAGCGGTGGTGGCTCACCTTCACCCACAAGACATCAAAAACCCATGGACTTCTGTTAAGCTTACTTCTAAAAGAGATCCAAAGCCATAAGGGTGAGAAACACCTGGCCTACCCCCTCCCCCCGGCTATGGCCACCCCCTGCTAGAGAAACCCCTTGCCTTCCACCCCCTGCCCCAACCTGCCCTGGCATAGACCCCCTCCCCCCTAGCTAGAGAAACACATTGCCTTTGCTCCCACCCTGGCACAGCAGCCCTGGGCTAGAGAAACACCTCGCTTTCCCCGTCCTGCCTTGGCACAGCCACCCCAGGCTAAACAAACACCTTGCCTCTGCCCGCCCCCACTGCCTGCCCTGCTCTTGCACAGGGCCCCCCGGCTAGAGAAATAGCTCACCTCCCCCTGCCCTCCATGGCACGGCCACCCCGGGCTAGAGAAACATCTTGCCACCCACCCCCAGAACCTGCAAGGGCATGGCCACCCCAGGGTTAAAGAAACTCCTCACCCTGCCCTTGCACAGCCGCCCCGGGGTAGAGAAACACCTTGCTTCTGTGCTGTCATGGCATAACCCAGTCAGTGCTCTGGAACTACTCCATACAAAGCCAGCCAGGACTCTGGGGAAGCATGCCTCCTCTCTCTGAGCATACTGGCACCAGGGCAAGAAGCTTACACAGCTTCCACTTTCCTGGGTCTGACCTCGGAGCATTCAGCATCCCCTTCCACACCATGCACTTCCCACAGCAAGTCTGCCCAGGTGGGGCTCCTGGGAGGTCAGAGGGCCTGCACCCCAATTCCACAGTCAGATGTAACTCTCAGCCAGCCGGTAAAACAGAAGGTTTATAAGGGCATGTCTACACTTACCTTCGGAGCAATTGATCCAGCGGGGTTTGAGACATGATAAATCGACTGCTGAGCACTCTCCCGTCGACTCCGGTACTCCACTGGAGCGAAAAGCTTAGGTGGAGTCGACGGGAGCGTCAGCAGTCGACAGTGAAGACACTGCGGTAAGTAGTCTAAGTACATCAACTTCAGCTACTTCAGCTCGCACCCCCCTCCCTACCCCCCAGTGGAGACCAGGCTTTAGTTGACAGGAACATAGAATAGAACAGAGCTTGCTATCACAGAAATCAGTGTCTTTCAGCCAAGGCTATCGTGGGAGTTCTGGGCCAGACGCCCTGGACTCCCCCTCTTCTAGTCCCCCCCATGCAGACAGCCAGTTGTCAGCAACCGGACCTCCGGCACACCCCTGTTGCTTCTCCTTCTCTTTGTCCTGCTTCCTGGGCAAAAGGTGTCACCTGGTTGCATCCCCCTCCTGGGTCTCGGGTTACATAGGTGCAAACAGCTGGGCTGCCTCACCTGCCCTGAGGACCTCAGCAAAAATCTCACACCCAATTCCCAACACCAAAGTACTGCTGCAGAAACTAAGTACACTGCAGTACACTCGGAAACACAGTATTAGTACAGGACAAGTAAGACTCATATGTAACAAAACAAGATGAATAAAACCTCACTTCGTCCCATCTCTCCCCACTCCAAGACCGAATTGAGGACTGGCTAAAAACATAGATATCATCAATATATGCCAGGGGAAAATTCTCCATCCCCTTGAGTAACTTGTCCACCAGGCGCTGGAAGGTGCGCCCTTTAGGCCAAAAATTAGGAACAGGAACTCGTATGGACACAGAGGGGGGATAAAAGCAGATTTCAGCCGGACATCCAGATCCAAAGGTACTTGCCAGCAGCCCTTGGTGAGATGCATAGTAGTGAAATAACGAGCCTCTTCTATCTTGTCTAGGAGCTCGTTGGGCCTAGGCGTGGGATAGGCATCGAACTTGGTGATGGCATTAAGCCTCTGGTAATTCAGACAAAACTGGATTGCCCTGTCCTTCTTGGGGACAAACACCACGGGAGAGGCCCAAGGGCTGGAGGACAGCTGGATCACCCCTAAAGCCAGCATGTACTTGACCTCTCTCTCCAGATCCTGGGCTGTTTTTCCAGTGACCCAGAATGGGGAACATCTTACAGGAGGGTGGGCTCCTGTCTCCACCTGGTGGACAGCCCAGGTTAGTGAACCTAGGGTGGTTGGAGAACAGCTGCTGTTAGGAACCCAGCACCCCTTGGATCTCTGCCAGCTGGGCATGGGTTAGCTGTCAGAGGGGGAATTGATTCCAGTGAAGGGCCGGCACTTGCCTCAGGGAATAAATCCACCCCTGCTCCCCACTGGCATAGGAGTGGGCATGCGCTGAGCGGTCGTACCAGACCTTCTGCTTCCCCTGGGCAATAGCTAGATTCTCCTGGGCCAAGTCCATGAGCTCAGCGAGCTTTTCCCAGAAAGTCAGTACATACTCCACCACTGATTCTCCATCGGGGGAGCTCTTCCCCTCCCATTCGATCCCTCATCAAGTCCAGGGATCCCCTCACTCTCCTCCCATACAGCAACTCAAAAGGAGAGACCACAGTTGATTCCTGGGGCACTTCCTGGTACGCGAACAGCAAGTGGGGTAAATACTTGTCCCAGTCCTGCAGGTGCTGGTGTGACAAAGTGGGGATTTTCCCTTGTTATGTTGTATGTGCGCCAATGTGAGTCTTACAGTTTTGCATGAACGATGTGTGTACCTCAGGTTCCATGTGTATTGCACCAATGTCTAGGTTGTGGGAATAACGGTGTGAGACTTTTGCGGGGGCTGATCCAGCTGCCTGGATGCTATGGCCTGCCCGGATGCTATGGCTGCCCTCTTCATAACCTGAGACCCAGGAGGGGGATTCGACCAGGGAATTCCCTTGGCCCAGGAAGTGAGAGAGAGGCCAGAGGAGGAGCAACGGGCAGGGCAGGAGCCAGGCAGCTGGAAGCAAGTGAACGTTGGGTGCCGTGGGGCACAGGGAGAGGACCAGAGCCCTGGCTCTGGGCTCTCCTCCCCACAAGTTGGACTTAGCTGAAAGTCACTGATTTCTGTGCTAACAAATTCTGTTCTATGCTGTGTTCCTGTCGACTAATAAACCTGTTTTACCGGCTGTCTGAGAGTCACATCTGACTGGAGAGTTGGGGTGCAGGGCCCTCTGGCTTCCCCAGGAGCCCCACCCAGGCAGACTTGCTGCAGGAAGCACACAGTGTGGAAGGGGATGCTGAATGCTCCGAGGTCAGACCCAGGAAGGTTGAAGCTGTGTAAGCTTCTTGCCATCGAGACAGTATGCTCAGGGAGAGGAGGCTCCCCCAGAGTCCTGACTCGCTTTATATGAAGTAGTTCCAGAGCATTGCCCCGGTGACTCCGTGACAACTGCTGGCAGCGGTGGGACAAACTGCACAGAGCATCCTGCAGTAAGTGACTGGGGAGCAGTAAAACCCAGGGGCATTAGCGAGAGATGGATGTGCTGAAGGCTCCGAGAGGTGAGGTGCAGAAGGCGAAAGAGCGTATGGCTTAAGTCCAAGAGAGAGTGGACCCCTGAGAAGGGCTGTTGCACTGAAGGGGTTCCTCCCAGGGATTGTGGGGAGCTGAGAGAACACAGGCCTGTGACACCGTGACCACTTGGGAACAGCATGGAGATGGCCTATAACCATCTCCTTAAGAAGGACATTGTAGAGCTGTGCAGAGAGAGTGGGCTGCACATTGGAAAGCTCACTAAGGCACAGCTGATTGCTCAGTTGGAAGAGGAGGATTTTTCTCAGGAGCCGGTTCCTAACTCAGCTGGGGCCGCGAAAGAGGCTGGGAGCACCTGGGTGTCCCAGAGACCCATGTCCCCGACCAGTAGGGGGTCTCCACCAGGTTCCCCATCAGTGGATCTGAGAGGGGTGGAATTGGAGCTAAAATCGAAGGAGTCAGAGGACCATGAGAGACAGGGAAGGCATGAAGCAGAACAGCAGGAGAGAGAGCAGCAGCATGAACTGGTGATGGTTGAGCTGAGAGGCAGAAGGACTCATCCAGGGGTGAGTGTGGATGGATCCCAGGGTGCCAATTCTGCAGGGAACCTCGAGACTTAATTGCTGCCCCAGGTTAAGGAGGAGGGAGATTTAGATGCCTGTCTCGCAGCCTTTGGGAAGGCTTGCAATCAGAACCAGGCTGGCCCTGAAGAAAGCTCTGGTGTCTAGCCCCCTTCCTGGGTCCCAAGGCCATAGAGCTGTTTCACCAGATGGGCGGGGTGGCAGACTGGCTCTTACTCCTGGCCCCAGCCTATATGTCTGTGTGGACTCTCCTGGGCTCAGGCCCATCGGACCCCCAGTGGGAGCGGAAGGTGATGGTCAATGGGGAGACATTCCTGGGGTGGTGAGATCCTGGGACAGAGAGAACTGTTGTCAGGCCCCGGGTGATGCAGCCTCACCAGATGCTGAGGGGTTGTGTGACCTTGGTGAAGGTCCCAGGGATGAAGCCCCTTGCCCTGCCTCTGGCCCAGATCCTGTGCACACACTGGAGGTTTCAGGCTGGCTGGTAGTTGGGGTTCTCCAAGATATCAGCTGTGACCTCCTGTTCTGGGATGACCCTTGTCTATTTGGGACAGGATCCAGGCCCTGCCCTTGTAACAGCTGAGGATTTGAATTTGAGTCCAGGGAACCAATCAGCTGAGATTGAAGTAGTCAGTGAAAATGCAAATGACCTGGCTGGCAGCGAGGGGGGGGAGCTGCTAAGCTCAAGACACCTGCCTGTCTGTAACCAGAGCCCTGGAGCTGAGTGGGACAGAGAGATACTCCCCACCTCCCTGCACATGGGGGAGGTGGCTAACACTGGCTCTGATGCTGTGAGCAAAGCAGCGGGCTCACAGCCTGCCCTCATTGGGACAGCAGGGGAAAAGCTGAGCCCAGGGGGATCGGAGACCCCAGCTGAGTGTGAGGAACCATAGCCAGGATGGGACAGCTGCCAACAAGGGCTGCCTTGTCCAGAGGTGCAAAAGGCCTGGGACAAGGGTAAAGCAGCCTTGAGACACATGCCTGTCATAGAGGAGCCTTTTCGGAAGTCACCCTGGACTTGGTGAGGGACGAATGGGAGGGGAAGGCCTCCCCCGAGGGAGAGTCAGTGGTGGAGTATTTACTGACCTTCCGGGAAAAGCTCGCTGAGCTCATGGGTCTGGCCAGGGAGAACCTAGCCAGGGGCTACAGGAGGCAGAAGGTCTGGTACGACTGCTCAGCCTATGGCACCGGGGACCAGGTGAGGGGTCACATCCTGGTGCAGAAGAATAAGCTGCAAGGTGCCTGGGACGGGCCCTTCAAGATCATCAAGCAGCTAAATCAGGAGAACGATGTGGTGGAACTGCCCAACCGGGCTCTCAGCCACCGAGGGGACCAGATCCACGTGATGGAGCCAAAAATTATGGAACTATAAATTATTGTGTGTGTGGGAGAGAGACGCTGGTACTGGCCGTGTGTGGCCAGTGGGAGAAGGGGGAAGATCCCCCTGGTGGGTCTGTTTCCTGAGACAGGAGCCGGCCCCTTGCTGGAATCAATTCCCCTCTCTGACCAGCTAACCCCTGCCCTGCAGGCAGAGATCAGCGAGGTGCTGCATTCGTACCACAGCTGTTTTCCAGCTGGCCTGGGCTCACTAATGGAGCTGTCCACTGGGTGGAGACAGCAGTTAGCCCTCCATCAGGTGTTCCCCATTCAGAGTAATGGAGAACACAGCCCAGGCCCTGCAGGGAGAGGTCAGAAACATGCTGGCTTTAGGGGTGATCCAGCTATCCACCAGCCCCAGGGGCCTCTCCCATGAAAGATGGGTCGATCTGATTCTGTGTGTCCTATCCAAAGCTCAATGCCATCACCATGTCTGGTTCTTGCCTATTCCTAGGCCTGATGAGATCCTAGACAAGTTGGGGTGGGACTCAGTACCCCATGACCAGGTATCTCACCAAAGGCTACTGGAAGGTGCCTTTCGATCCAGATGCCAGGTTGAAACCTGCTTTTGTCACCCCTTTGGGGCAGTACAAGTCCCTGGTCCTACCTTTCAGCCTTAAGGAGGCGCCAGTCACCTACCAGCACCAGGTGGATCAGTTACTGGGGGGGATGGAGACTTTTACCTTAGTGTACATTGATGATATTTGTGCCATTAGTCAGACCTGGGAGGAACATGTGTCCCAGGTGAAGCGGGGGTTGAGTTACCTCCAGGATTCAGGGCTGACTGTAAAAGCTGGGAAGTGCAAGGTGGGGATGGCAGAGGTGTCGTACCTGGGCCACAAGGTGGGGAGTGGCTGCCTAAAGCCAGAGCCACCGAAGGTGGGGGCGATCAGAGATTGGCCTGCTCCCCAGACTACCACACAGACCCAGGGCTTTATTGGGATGGCGGGGCACTACCAGAGGCTTGTGCCCCACTTTAGCTCTGTGTCAGCTCCCAAGAAGGGTAAGCCAGACAAGCTGGTCTGATCTGAGCAGTGCCAGAGGGCTCTCTGCACACTGAAGGAGGATCTGGTCAAGGGCCCGGTGCTGGGAAACCCAGACTTTGACAAGTCCTTTATGGTGTTCACCGATGCCCCAGACACAGGACTGGGCACGGTGCCGAGGCAGGCCCATGCAAAGGGGGAGAAACACCACATCATGAACCTGAGCAGGAAGCTGCTGCCCTGGGAGCAGGGCTATGCAGCCATAGAGAAGGAATGCCTGGCCATGGAGTGGGCTCTTACAAGGCTGCAGCCGGATCTATTTGGGCAGCGCTTCACTGTGTGCACAGACTACTCGCCCTGCCATGGCTGCATCAGATGAGAGGGGCCAATGCCAAGCTCCTGAGGTGGAGACTGTCCTCCCAGGATTATGAGATGGAGGTGGTCCACGTTAAGGGGAGTGCAAATGTTATAGCTGATGCTTTGTACGAGAGAGCAGGGCCGGAACTTCCCCAGGTCACTGGCTAAAGTGACCTTCTCAGTTCGGACTCTAAGGGGGGAGAGGGTGTGATGAAGTGGGGATTTTCCCTTGTTATGTTGTATGTGAGTCTTACTGCTTTGCATGAATGCTGTGTGTGCCTCAGTTTCCCGGTGTATTGCATCAATATCTAGTTGGTGTAAATAAAGGTGTGTGACTTTTGCACGGGCTGATCCAGCAGCTTGCATGGATACTATGGCCGGCCCTTCATAACCTGTGACCCAGGAAGGGGATGCGACCAGTGACTCTTGACCCGGGAAGCGAGACAAAAGCCGGAGGAGGAGCAATGGGCAGACCAGGGGCCAGGCAGCTGGAAGTGAGTCAGTCTCGGCTGGCTTGGGGCACAGGGGGAGAGCCAGAGCCCTGGCTCTGGACTCCCCTCCTCCCAGGATGGACTTGGCTGAAAGTCACTGATTTCTGTACTAACAAGTTCTGTTCTACACTGTTTGTATCGACTAATAAACCTGTTTTACCGGCTAGCTGAGAGTCACATCTGACTGCGGAGTTGGGATGCAGGGCCCTCCAGCTTCCCCAGGAGCCCAGCCTGGGCGGACTTGCTGTGGGAAGCACACAATGTGGAAGGGGGCTCTGAATGCTCCAAGGTCAGACCCAGGAAGGTGGAAGCTGTGCAAGCTTTTTTCCCTGGAGACCGTATGCTCAGAGAGAGGAGGTATGCTCCCCCAGATTCCTGACTGGCTTCATATGGAGTAGTTCCAAAGCATCACCCCGGTGACTCTGTGACAGCTGGTTCATAAAGGTTTTCAGCATCATCTTTAGAGTCCCATTGAATCTCTCCTCCAGCCCATTGGACTGAGGGAGATATGCCAAGGCCAAGGTATGTTGGACCCCACACTTCTCCCACAAGCGCCAGAGCAGAGTTGACATGAAATCGGAGCCCTGGTCTGGAAGGGCCTCCTTGGGGAATACTACTCTGCTGAAAATGGTCAGCAATGTATATGTCACAGTGTCTGCCTCAATAGAGGACATGGCCACCATGTAGCGAAATCTACCACTACCAGAATGTATTTTTTCCCTGTCCGAGTTGCCTTGCTGAGGGGCCCCACTATGTCTACAACCACCTTCTGGAAAGGCTACTCTATGATGGGCAGGGGCCTCAAACCTCTTTTCCCCTTGTCCCAGGCCCTCCCCACCATCTGGCAGGGGTTGCAGGACCTGCAGTACTGCTGGACGGCATCAAAGACCAGGCCAGTAAAAGTTACTTAAGAGTCTCTGCCTGGTGCGCTGGATTCCCTATTGCCCCGAGAGAGGGACATCATGGGCCAGGTACAGTAGCCTGCGGCGGTACTTCTGGAAGACCACCATCTATCTCCTGATCCCCCCACAGTTCTACTTCTCCTTGGGGTGCTCATTCCCGGTACAGAAATCCTTTCTCCCCTCCAGCCTGCCTTGGCACAGCCCCCCGGGGATAGAGAAACACCTCGCCTCCCACCCCTGCCCTGCCCTTCCCTGGCACGGCCACCCTGGGCTAGAAAAACATCTCACCTCCCCACCCAACCTGCCCTGCTCTGGCTTGGCCGCCCTGGGCTAGAGAAACACCTTGCCTCCTGTCACGGAGTGTGGGGGAGTCAGGGCCCTGCACCAGGATAAACAAAACCCCTAGCCTCCCTCCAACAACTTCCCCTGGCATAGCCCAACCAAACGAGAGAAATACCTCGCCTCCCCCCAAGCCCTGCCCTGCCACACCACAGCCCCCCTCCCCGAGCTAGAGAAACACCTCGCCTCCTGCACACCCTGCCCTGCCCTGGCACAGCTGCCCCGGGCTAGAGAAACACCTTGCCTCCTGTCACAGCGTGTGGGGGAGTCAGGGCCCTGCGCCCCCCACTTCCTGCAATTCAGCCAGTCAGTAAAACAGAAGGTTTATTAGATGACAGGAACACAGTCTAAAACAGAGCTTGTAGGTACAGAAAACAGGACCCCTCAGTCAGATCCCTCTTGGGGGGTGCGGAGCCCAGTCCCAGGTTCTGGGCCTCCCCACATCTCCCCAATCGGCTCCAAACTGAAAGCCCTTCCTACTGCCTCACCCAGCCATACCCCCAGCCCCTCCTCCAGCCTTTGTCCAGTTTCCCGGGCAGAAGGTGTCACCTGGCCTCAACCCCCTCCTGGCTCAGGTTACGAAGGGCAGTTGCCATCGTTTATGTGCTGGCCATCAAGGATCATCCCTCAGTGAAGTCACACCCTTATTTCGCATCACCATCTAGTATTGGTGCAGTACCCCAGGGAAACGGAGGCACGCCCCATGTTAGCAGAAGACAGTAAACTAGTAAAACTCCCATGCAACATTACCAGGTTAATACTCCCTACTCAGTCACATCTCTCCCCGCTTCGTGACTGAAGTGAGCAGGGTGTCACTAACCAGTGACCTGGGAAAGTTGAGGCCCCCCTCTCTGGGGCAATGCATCAGCTATCACAGCACTCCCCTTCACATGGACCACCTCCATATCATAATCCTGGAAGAGCCGGCTCCACCTCAGGAACTGGGCATTGGCTCCTTTCATCTGGTGTAGCCAGGTCATGGGAGCATGGTCAGTGTACACAGTGAAGTGTCACCCAAATAGATATGGCTCTCGTTTCTTAAGGGCCCATACAATAGCCAGGCATTCCTTCTCTATGGCCACGTAGTTTTGCTCCCAAGGTAACAACTTCTTGCTCAAGTACATGATTGGGTGTCTCTCCCCCTTTTCAGCAACCTTCATTAACAGCGCACCCAGCCCCGTGTCTGAGGAGTCACTAAACACCATAAAGGGCTTGTCAAAGTCTGCGTTTACCAGAACTGGGCCACTGACCAGAGCCTCCTTCAGCACAGAGAGCCTTCTGCCACTGTTTGGTACAGACCACCTTGTCTGGCTTTCCCTTCTTGCATAGCTCAATGATGGGGGCGGCTATGGAACTAAAGTGTGGCACAAATCTTCAGTAATACCCCGCCATCCCAATAAAGGCCTGGACCTGCCTTTTTGGTTTGGGGAGCGGGCCAGTCTCTGATCACCTCCATCTTGGCTGCTTCTGTATTTAGGCAGCCGCTCCCCCACCCGGTGGCCCAGGTAAGATACTTCAGCCATCCCCACCTTGCACTTCTCAGCTTTTATCGTCAACCCAGCCTCCTGGAGTCGGTCCAGCACTTGTTTAACTTGGGACACATGGTACTCCCAGATCTGGTTAAAGACACAGATGTCATCAATGTACGCCATAGCAAAACTTCATCCCCCTCAGTAGCTGATCCACCAGGCACTGGAAGGTAGCAGATGCGCCCTTGAGGCCAAAAGGCAGGGCCAGGAACTCATAGAGCCCCAGAAGGGTGATAAAGGCAGATTTCAGCCTGGCATCTGTATCCAGTGGTACTTGCCAGTAGCCCTTTGTAAGATCATAGAATCATTGAATATCAGGGTTGGAAGGGACCTTAGGAGGTCATCTAGTCCAACCCCCTGCTCAAAGCAGGACCAATCCCCAACTAAATCACCCCAGCCAGGGCTTTGTCAAGCCTGACCTTAAAAACCTCAAAGGAAAGAGATTCCAGTGCTTCACCACCCTCCTAGTGGAAAAGTTTTTCCTAACATCCAACCTAAACCTACCCCACTGCAACTTGAGACCATTACTCCTCGTTCTGTCATCCAGTACCACTGAGAACAGTCTAGATCCATCCTCTGTGGAACCCCCTTTCAGGTAGTTGAAAGCAGCTATCAAATTCCCCCTTATTCTTCTCTTCTGCAGACTAAACAATCCCAGTTCCCTCAGCCTCTCCTCATAAGTTATGTGCTCCAGCCCCCTAATCATTTTTGTTGCCCTCTGCTGGACTCTCTCCAATTTTTTCACATCCTTCATGCAGTGTGGGGCCCAATGTCGAATAGAGGGAAATGACCTTTGATCTGCTGACAATGCCCCTACTTATACAGCCCAAAATGCCATTAGCCTTTTTGGCAACAAGGGCACACTGCTGACTCATATCCAGCTTCTCATCCATTGTAACCCCTTGGTCCTTTTCTGCAGAACTGCTACCTAGTCATTTGGTCCCTAGTCTGTAGCAGTGCATGGGATTCTTCCATCCTAAGTGCAGGACTCTGCACTTGTCTTTGTTGAACCTCATCACATTTCTTTTGGCCCAATCCTCTAATTTGTCTAGGTCCCTCTGTATCCTATCCCTACCCTCCTGCGTATCTACCACTCCTCCCAGTTTAGTGTCATCTGCAAACTTGCTGAGGGTGCAATCCATGCCATCCTCCAGATCATTAATGATCTTAGCATGGCCCCCCACCGGGCTAGAGAAACACCTCACCTCTCTGCCCACAGTAATAACAATTCATGTTCGTTGGTCCCTTTGACCCTATCAGTTGGTCCTGGTGCCAGTTGTTCCCCTGGAGAGGGGGTTCTCCACATTCCCCTATTGTGGGGTCCTAGGGTGACTCTCTGTACCATGGTGGGCTTATTCTTTTGGGACTCCTCCATTCCACCCACTGACTGGCTGTACACAAACTTGTTGGCCAGCTGCACTGCGCTCTGCAGGTCCTCTGGCTTTCTGTCCACCAACCATATCCTCAGGTCGGATGGGCAATGTTCATACAGGTGCTCCAATACAACCAGTTTAGCCATGTCCTTCTTTGTCGGGACCCCATCTGCCCACTTGTGGACATATCCCTCCATTCGGAGGATCAGTTCTAGACATGTGTCCTCAGGAGTTTTACGCTGACTCCAGAACGTTTTCTGGTACGCCTCAGGAGTCATTTCAAACTTGCGTAACAGGGCCTTTTTGAACAGTTCATAGTCCCCTGCCTCCACCCCTTCCATTCGGCTATACATCCCTATGGCTTTGGGGTCCAGTAAGGGGGGTGAGAAACCTGAGCCTGACTGCAGGGTCAACTCTGTGCAGCTGGCAGGCCTTCTCAAAGGGCATCAGGAATTCATCTATGTTCTCCCCTTCCTTAAACTGGGACAGCATGTGCTTATCAAAGTTCCATGTAGTCCTGGGTCCCCCCTCACTCACTGCAGCAGGGGGCTCTCTGCTCCTCAATTTTGCTAACTCCAGTTCATGCTGCTGCTGTTTCTCCCAATCCTTCAGCTCTGTCAGTTTTATCTCCCTCTCCCATTCCAGCCGCCTCAGCTCCAGCAACAGGGAGCTTGGCCGTGAGGATCCCCTGCTGGCCGCGGGGGTCACAGTGTCCCCGGGGTTCACCTGGCTGCTTCTAGCCCCTCCCCAGCTATAGGTAGAAGGAGCCTCAGCGTGCCCTCAGCAGCAGTCTGACCACTCCCAGCCAGGACAGACACTGGCGCCGGCCCCGCAGCTGCCGGGCTGCTTCCCTCAGGGACAGGGATCAGCTCCTCCAAGCGATCCTCCTCCTCCAGCTGGGCAATCTCCACAGGCTAGAGCTGTGCTTTGGTGGCCTTCCCTCTGTGAAGCCCCCTTTCCTTGCACAGCTCTACAAGGTCCCTCTTAAGGAGATGGTTATAGATCTCCCCGCTGTTCCCAAGG